TATTTAGGTGGCGACTCTGTATCTGGCAAAGCAGTCCATGTTTGGCACTACTTTTTCAAAAATCTGTTTCTCAAAACGATTTGCCGGATTTGGACTCTTTGGTTCAGATTAAGAACCGTGACACAAAATCGAGAGTCCGAACTGTAGCGAGGGCCCCCCTCGCGGGCGCGTCTACAGCCTAGAACACCATTCTCAGTAGAGTTAGACAAATTTGAGGCACTGAAGAGATTCAGTATGCCGAGGTTCCAAATATACGATGGTAAGTCAGACCTCAACTTCCACGTTGGATTATACTTGAACTCGATGGCATTATATAGTGGGAACGAGCCGTTGCTCTGCAAAGTGTTCCCCTCATCGTTCGGGGAGATTGCATCAGATTGGTTTCACAAACTACCGAAAGGAAGCGTGAAGACCTAGGAAGGCCTGGCCGAGATGTTTGTGGCCAGGTTCGTGACAAACAAGCTGCAGCCATTAAGGGTGGATGCATTGATGGCTCTAAAGATCAGTAAGGATGAAGGCGTTAGGGCCTATGCAAAAAGGTACTATAAGGTGTTCAACCGAATACCAGAGTGCAATCAAGAGGTGGCAATCGTATTTTTCAAGAACGGCCTAAAAGACGACTGTCCACTACGAAAATCTTTGGCAAAGACATTGCCAAAAAGCATGGAAGAGCTCATGGCTAAAATCGAGAAGTATGCCAGAGCTGAGGCTAATGAAACAAAAGATTGAATGGACTCTTGATATTTTCCACATTCAACATTAATTGAAACTCTCTAAGTTTAAAATTTTCAAAATAAACAAATATAAGTCAACTTTGATTTTAAGAAAGTGTAATAAAGTTTCTAAGTTTGAATATTTTACCTCATCACCGACCAATACAAGATTTTTGGGCCAAGCAACAAAAAATCCCACTGCTTCTCCAACAATGAGCATCTCATCTGAGATAGGTATAGGAAGAGGGGCATCTTTTTGAATAACAACTTCAATAGACACACGTACATTGGATTCTCCTAATGGCACCGTATGAATGGGTTCATTGGGTTCAATTCTCTCATACACCGTGCCATGTGCAACAGTATTTTCAATGGAACCTACCGCGAGTTTACACGGTTTGCCCTATAACACACAAAGTTAACAATGGAACTTCTAAGAATATCACTAATGATATTATAAATTATAACATCAATATATAAAAACTACACACCTTTCTCTTATTTTGTTTAGGATCTTGAGGTGGAATGTCGTCCTTACTTCTCACTCTATTTTCTGGTAAGATAGAATCATCCTGAAAATTGCCTCTACCACCACTTTTTAACATGTTTGAACATTTGCCCTATAACAAACACACAGATAACAACAAAAACACTAATAAAATCACTAACAATATTAGAAAATATAACAACTTTAGGTGTTCTAAATGCTACACACCTTTATAATCTTTTGGGTAAGAGCTTGAGGTGGAATGTCATCCTTAGTTCTCACTCTGTTTTCTGTTGAGAGAAAATCACGCTGAAAATTTCCTTCATAACCCCTTCTCAAGGCATTTGAACTAACATGTTCAGATTCTGGTGTATGTGGTATTTGTTGTTCCACTGCACTAAGCCTAGCTTGCAATTGTACCACCACTGCCTCAAGATCATTACATTTCTTCTCCCAATGTGACTGATTCCCACGTCTAGGCAAGTGAAAGTAGGTGCTATGTGTGACAGAATTTCCTACACCCCTTACTCGACTAGAAGATTCAGGAGTACCCAATGCCATAGTAAGAATGCCATTGCATCCTTTAGTCTTTAAACTCCCATCACTTTTTTGTTTGGTCAACTCATCCTATAATAGTACATTATTTGAGTGGAGGGTAATTTCTTGAAGGTTGAGTGTTGGGGAAAAACCAAATGAGGGTTAAGTGCTGGTGAGAACATACAAGAGGGTCAAGTGATGTGAGCCATATGGTGAGGTTTACTGTTTTAAATGTTTTTAACTTACATGTTGCTGTGCGGGTTGCCAATTTGGTTTCTATATAGGGATGGTGGGTTGAGAGATGGTGTGCCCTTATATATTGAGTGAGTGTTGTAAGCTGTGGGTTGAGTGAACTAGTTTCAAAAACTTTCTAACTGTTTACTGCAAGTACTTATGGTTGGTTCTTATAATAGAGATTTTTCATTGTGGGTCAAGTGAAGGAAGACCTAAATTGTTTGTTGCATTGGAGGATTTTCTCATTGTTATTACTCTTTGATTTCATTTGGTTGAATCTGTGTGGGTGGTCCTAACAAGTCATGCTGAAACTTGGAAGTATAAAGTTATAGGGAATGCAAACTTGAACCAGGTTGCAATTGGCGCCAGTTCAATGAATGGAGTATGCTTGACAGTTGTCTTTTTATTTTATTTTGTTGGTGCTACACAATTGGATAGGAAGTATGGAGTTGAATTCCAACTGGTTTTATGCTCATGTTCTAAGGCTTCTACCTATTCCCTTGCGGGTTGTGCTTAGGGTCTTATTTTATTTTCTCAAACTCTTGGTTTCTTGTATATTGGTGTATGTGGTTGCTATGGAAAAACATAGCATTGATTGGCTTCTTTTGTGTGTGCCTCTGATCTTGGTTATGGAGGCAGCCAGTCTGCTAGCTAGACTTATTCACCCAAAAAAAAAAAAAAAACTAAGTCCAGCAATAGCAGCAGCAACTAAGTGCTGCAACAACAACAGCAACAATAGCAAAGGCATTAACAAACCAAAACAAATCCTTATTTGAAATGCATTACTATCCATTTATGTTTGAATTTAGTGTAATTTATCCTTATCTAAAACTGAAATGTATTAGTAGATGGGAACATCCATATGGTATTTGGTCCTTTTTTTTTTTATAACTTTCTCCTTAATGGTGAATGTACTTTAAGGGAACAAGATATGAACAATTGTGGAGAAGGTGGTTTGGAAATACTCTTCTGATCCTGGAGAACGCTCGTGATCCTCTTCTGGTCACCTGAAAAGAAATAGACACTCCGTCGGGGGTGTCGAAATTAGCACTCCGACGGACAAGTCAGTAACCACACTCAGGAATGCTTATATTCTAAGTTAAGCACTGTAATTCTCACATACCTTTCTTAGTCTGTTGTTCCTTTATTTATACTTGTTTCCTGGGCCTCATGGCCAGGCCCACTTGTCACTCATCATCCTCTTATTTACTCGACTCCATGGTTCAGTATCTGTTCGGCCCATCTATTATATTCGGCATCCTTATCGTGCAGAGTAGAGCCATGTAATATATGTCTTCTAGAGTATGCTTCTGATTATTCCAATTATTCGGCTCCCACAATTGCCCCCCAAACACCTCGCTAGCATCAGTTAGTCGGCGTGTTTGGCTAGAAGTCAAAAAATTCGGCAGTTAATCCTTTTCCCGATGCGTGTCAGAACGCATACGTGCTTTTTGGTCATTGTAATGCTTTCCCGCCCCATTCGTGCTTCTCTCGCATTTATTACGATTTGAAACTTAAGTCCCTTCGAAAAACATACTTTTTTGAATATTTGAACTTCCTGGACTGCCAATCGGTATCTCTTCTTCGACGCGTTTTCTGCAACTCTTATCCGTTCTCTCCTTGTCTCCTTGTCTCCTTTGCCTTTCGTAAGTTTTCTTCTCTTCTCCTTGCAATCCTATTTTTCGTATTTATTTTTGATTTAGGATATCCTTGAGTTCTTGCTAGAATGGCTAAGCATTTGAAAGACCTCCTTTCCGAGGGTCGAATTTCTAGGTTCAGAAAACATTTTTCTATTCCTGAGGATGTCCATCTTGCTCTAGAAACAGACAATACCCTTCATATGGAGAGGGATGACCAAAATACAATCGTCTTCCCTCTCCTATCTATTGCAGAGGGCGGAGTTCGTTTTCCCCTACACCCATTTTTTAGGGCCGTCCTCCGCTATTGGAGCCTGATTCCTTCGCAACCCAATGTAAACTTCTTTCAAATCGTAATAGGAATCGTAGAGTTGAACCGGCGTCTCAAGATCAACCTCGGCACATTCCGACGATTCGGCACTGCTATGCTTTAGCCAAATCCTCCGGTCGGCTTGGGCGCTACTTTCTCAGGGCCAAGGACACCGACCATCACTTGGTGACGATGCTTGCCAGCTCTGACAAACAAGTTGACGATGTAATGGACAATGTCCAAGGTAACTGGGAATTCGGCAAGGGCGAAGATCGCCTGGACCCTATTCCCAGACGGAGGGGTGAACCAGGTTGCCATATAACTCCGTGTTTGTTGATCTTTCTTTTATGCGGTGTTTTCTCCAAGCCTTACCCTTTATTCTTGCAGGCAATAGAGTTGAAGAGGATTTTGACCTCGGCTAACGACGCAGTCTTGCGGAAATTAAGACAACACTAAAGCACTTTGGCCGTCCGAACGTGTAGAAGCAAGGGAGAGCCGCCCATATTCTCCTGTGGTACGAGCCTACTTATACCACATTCTCAGCCGCGAACGATATTCCGATCCCAACCGGTGAACAGCACCTTACAGCTCTTGTCTTTCCCAGCTTCAAGACCCTCAGGCAAATTGGTCTTGAAGCTTCTGATTCGGAGCAAGACTTAGAACAAGTGGTCAAAGTAGTTGCCAAATCAACGAAAGTGTTCGCTACGGAGGCCGAAGAAGTCGACGAAGCCCTCAAATCAGCGTTTGTGGCAGCCGATCTTAACGAGCCTAACTCTCTGTCCACTTCGGGTCGGGCGGAGTTTTCCTTCGGAGACATTTTTACAAACTTGGGAGATCTACCTGGCGCTTTTTCTAAAGGCATGGCTGGGGAAAATCTCACGCAAATTGTGAGAAAGAAAAATGCTGAGAGAATGGCCGCCCGAAAGAAAGTCGAGGCCGCTCGTTATGAGCCTACCCCAGTTGAATCTATACAACCGGTTACTGGAGAAGAAACGGCTCAAGTTGTTGTGGCCGAGACGGAGGGAGCTGAATAGCAGGTTATGGAAGAACGGCTGGTTTCAAAAGAGCGGGGCGAAAAACGTTCCGCCGAGGGAGAGGCCGGCTCAGAGGATAGCCCTGCAGACAAACGGCCTCGCTTAGAGGAGTCAGACGTGGTTGCCCCCTTCGTTGTTCAACCAAAGATCAAAGACACGCCAATCTCCGCTGACGCATCTGCCATGAAGGATCCAGCCGTGGCGTTGAGCTTGGCCACCTCAGTTTCGCTACAGGCTGACAAGGCCGCCTTTCGAGAAGAGCCGAATTTGGTAGCTATAGCGTTCGCTGCCCAGTCAGCCCTTCTGGTATGTATACGATACTTTCATTTTTGCTCGTTTGGTTTGGTTTGCGTACGACGTTGCTTGATGTGGTGATCCAAACTTGTTTTGCAGACGGTTGGAAGGATAGCCGAACTAGGCTGCCGGCAGCATGATGCCATTAAAAGAATTGGCCGCTTAAAGTTTGAAGCTGAGGGTGAAAGAAGTAGGGCCGAGTTCGAGGCGATGAGAGCCACAATGGAAAGTGCTCGAGCCGAAGCTGAAAATGAGAGGGCTCGGACTGCTGACCAGCTCAGATCCGAAGCCGAGGATAGGGTGAATGCGAGCGAGGAGTCGCTCAGGTTAACCCAGGAGGCGCTTTCCAAGGTAGAGGCCGAGTTAGAAGAATTGAAGGTGGCCAAGGAAAAAGCCGAATCTGAAGCTTCTACGGTGCTAGAAGCTGGGAAAAGCACCGCCTTGAAGGAATACGTAGATGAGGTCCGCAAATTCGAGAATCGGGGATTCAAACATGGGTGGCTCAAAGCCCTTCCTTCCGCTGGAGTTACATTGGGCTTGCCAATTCCATACGAGCAAGTGGACGTTGAGCCACTTGAGTCTGATCCCGAGGATTGATCTGGGAGACATTCTAGTTTTATTAGGTATCTTTAATTTCGTTGTACGTTTTTGTTTAGTGGATCCTTGTTAGTTCAAGGTAATTTTCATGTATAAATTAGTTACTATCTGTGCTCAATTTATTAATGAAAATTTCCTTCCCATTTCACTGTTATTTGTACGAAGTTTCTGATATTAATGAAGAGTTTTGCCTTCCACTACTTTGGATAAAATGATTACTGTCTGTTGTGCCTTCTAACCAGCGATTGGAATCAGTGTAATCTTGGCAATTATATTTATTAAACTTTAATTTATCCGAGCAAGTAAACGGACTCTTGGTGCTGAATAGGACTAGTAAATCGATTCGTGAAGCGGCTGCGGCACTCAAGCCGGATAGATTGATGAATCTGCCCTTACCCCAGCTGGTTCACGAACATTAAACGCCGAATCATACAATATTGATTAGTCGATTCGTGAAACGACTGCGACACTCAAGCCGGATAGATTGATGAATCTGCCCTT